TATGATTCAATTTTATATTGTTACAATATATGATTCATTTTATATTATTATTATATATAATAAGTAAAATAATTTTTTAAAAACTTAACAATATTTATGAATTTTTTTCGTAAATTTCTTTCATGCCATACATATCAGGCAACTTCTTCAAAGTTTTCTACTAAATTATTTTAAAAAGTATACTGTATATTCAAATGTCTTATTACATTTAATAATAAATAAAAATAAATAATAAAAAAAAAATTTAAAAAAAATATTAATTATATTAAATAATATAAATATATGTATATTTACATAATAAGAAATTTATAAGGATCCCCGTAACAGGTGAATAAATAACACTGTTAAAAAAAATATTTAAGAAAAAAACTAACGTAAAAAATGATGTGCTGTTTTGATGTGCAGAACTAGGACTCACCTTGGTCCATGACCCGGGTCCTCTGCGCCTCAGGGACCTCGGGACGCTCGTCTGCAGGGTTCAGCGACAAGAACAAACGTACTAAATGATAACAATGATGTCACTCAGCCGACCGGCCTTACCTATATGTACAATGTTTTTTGTCATTCGCGCATCGCAGGTTTTACTAGCAGAGCAGCGAGCAGTGGCGAACATCGAATAGTAGGATGATCACTAATTATAACAACTCAGGCACCATTTTTCTTTCGCTTTTTCTTTCTTTCACCCTCTGTGTGTATCCCAAACACATTCCAGAGTTCTTGCATATAAATAAATCTATATTTATAGATGCAATTTTTTTTTCTAATGAAAATATTTTTTTGTTTGCCTGTAGCAGTTTGTGATTTCTTCAGATCATGCATTGACATGTCATTAATAAAAACTATGTACACATTATACACGTTATACAGGACATATATGTTAAAAGACATGCATTTGGAGAAAATGTTTGAAAATAACTATTAATGATAATTTATAAATATTTTTAAATAGAGGAAATAATATAAATATATAATTAAATTCTAAAAGTTTAAATTTCTAAAATTGGAGAAATCAAGAACTCTAAAAATTTAAAACTAGAAAAAATAACATTATATATATAAAAAATTTTAAAATTCTTTAAGAATATTCAAGAGTTTCAAAAACTATAAAATCGAAGAATATATTATTTAATTTTTTTTACCTTTATCCTAATATGATAGTTTATAATTACGATATACAGTTTATAACTGTAGGATTATAAATTCTAGAGTTCTAAGATTTTGTAAAATTTTAAGAACTTGAGATTACAAATCTTTTTTAAACACTTATTTTTTGTATATTATTATATTTTATATATTTTATAATATAAATATTCAACAGAAAAATTTATATTTGGAAATTATTATTAAAAATTTAATATAATTTAATGATCAAAATTTTCTCCAAATATAGTTCTAATATTTTTTTATAATTTATACACATTAATTAAACACCTCAGTTTGAGAAATCAATAATGCATACTCATCCATGCGTAAAATATTATTTTATAATGTATTAAAAAAATAATAAATCATTTAATTTCATTTTATGTTTTTTATAAATGCATATAGATAATGAGAAAAGTGAAGTAAAATGTATATAGAATTAGAAAGTAAAAGAGTCATTATACAAAGTTATCGATAGCGATAATTGGAAGTTACAAAATCCTATTATTCTTTAGTTATATGAATGAATATTAAGGAGTTCCTAGGTTAAATGTATTATTTAACATGCAATTTGCAACGATTCTATATCGATCGATTTATATATGTTTATTCTAATATTTTACATTGATGCAAGCTATTTGTTTGAACAAAAAATAAAATAAATTTATTCTACTTGGATAGACAGGAAGAAGCATGAGATTTAAAGCAGCATTCTATGTTAAAATAGAGTTTTGTAACACTTATTATTATATTATTTTAATATTATTATAAAAAATAGTAAGTGAATTAATATTTATAATATAATAGCGAAATTTTATAAGTTATAATTTATAAGTTTTTTTATAATCATAATAATTATATCTACATCTAAATTTTTTTACATGTCAATTAAAAATCTGATAATAAAATAAGTAAAATTTTATAAATAAATAAAATTTTATAAACCTTACAAATTTAAAATAATTAATATAAAATTATAAAATTTATCAATTTTAACTTTTATTATTAAATGATAAATTGTTATATAAAAAAGTAAATAATCGAAGAAATTAAAAATAATGATATATATAATAATATTCAATTTTTTTATCATACATAAAAAAACAAGCATTGATTGAAATTTCTTTTTGAGAGGGAATTTCACATGATAATTCCGACAGATAGTTTGAAATAGTAATTATTGTAAATGCGTAGGTGCGAATTTACGAAGCAAAGTTGTGAGGGCGGTTATTCTCATAGGTTAACCGCGAGTATAAAGCATGTACACGAAGTCAATTGCTTCAATTCTATACTAGCCAGTGTGGGCAAACTTCCGGCAGGATTCACAAATGTTAAACGGATCCGAGTGTAGAAGACGGCCCTTGGCGTGCGCGACATCCTGTCCAGGCCACCGTTTGTAATTTATACCACGATTTAGACGCCGAGACGACGATCTTCCGGTATTATCATCAAACAACGTGCAATAACTGACAGGCATTTCAACAATTTTATTTATTGCCGGATCCAAGAATTTATAAATACTTGTGACGCGTATTTCTTAAATCTTGCCTATATTTCTCTTTCAGATATGAATGATAAATAAGAGAAAAAGCAAGAAAATTCAATTTTTAATAGTTTTAATAATTTAATATTTGTATTATGGAAGTATTATGTTTTATATATTTATAAAAACGAAATAAAGTATCTTATTAATATATATATTTATTTTATTTTAGTGAAAATATTAAATAAAATAAATTATATTTAATATAATAAATAAAATAATATTTAAATCTATATTTCTACATTGAAGATCGATTTTCATATTTTCTTCAATAAAA